CTGCAACCGGAACGCCATCTTGTGAGTATTGGTCCAATAGCCTGTCCCCATTACGGTACATGTGGATAAAATTATGTATTATAGCACACGCTACTGGAATCATAACTTGTTTGGTCATGGGGTAACGATTAATGGTTCTCAAAATACGAAATCTAGCCTTCCACACACCAAATGTTCTTTCAATGACATTACGCAACGAAGAGTGGGTGTAGTTGAAAAGCTCACGTTCACTGTGGAATCCTCTTTCACGGCGAGCCCTATACTCTTGCAAGTGGTACGTTGTCCCCCGATATGGTGCCATGAAGCATCCGTTGTTAGCGTACCCTGAGTCGACGAGGTAAAATTTTCCTACACTTGTTCGTATATTAATTAATAAATAAGCGTGCGGATGAAGTATTTGAAATGTCAGTGTACATATAAGAAATCATTGTAGGCTGACCTGGTGGCGGTGTCGGGAATCTTTGCGTGCGAATTCTAAAGCAGCAGCTAATACTCGCGCATCGTGTGCGGAACCCTCCCATCCAGATAACATGTACGTAAATTTCATATCAAAAGTGCACACGGCAAGCACATTAAGTGAAAAAAACCCCTTCCTATTTCTGTAAAGTTCAGCAGTTTCACGAGGGGGAACACATGGGATGTGAGTACCATCAAGTGCTCCAACACAATCCTTCATAGTTTACAAATATTATGTTGGTTATATTGAAGTTGTAATAATTATTATAAACCAATAAATAATATACATTACCGAACATACATCGAACCACGGTGAGTATTTGTTTCCACTTGCAATGATGTGCGGGTCAACGGTTTGGAAATCTGGATGTAAAATGAAGTCCTGCTTCAGTTTGCATACCGCCACAAGAACTTTGGTGAAGTACTCAGACACCGTCGATCCAGATCGTTGCCAAGTGTCCTGTGCCTCCCTGTTAGTTTGGTTCTGACATAATATAGTTAGGAATATAAATAATTGTTCATCAACATTTAGGTGGACAGTTGGTTGCAGTAAGCTCCTTTCCTCAAGGATAAAACTTAGTCGCAAGAACGCATCACTACTTATACAGACTTTGTCATACATCACTGTTGGACTACGTTCCAAATAATACTGCACCCTAAGTGCACCGCCCCAACCAGAAGTGTGCCTCGGCGAGAAGGGTTCTCTATATATAAATCCAACACATAGCGTAGTCGCCGGAGCGACAACTTGCATGAAAAAATTATCATCACTGTCGTAGTCCGATTCATTAGAACCCAACGGATTAGAATTCCCACCTATATCCATCCCTGTCAAATTTTCAGAATAATGAAGCATAAAGTTATAAAAATGCAAATCGTATGTGTAAAGTTAAAAAGTGCATATTAAACATACTCTTGCATAAATAATTGCATAAATAAGCTTGCATTAAGTAACAAATCCTCAACCAAATGTGCCGCAATCTAATAAGAATTACTCAATTAGTACTAAAAACGAAAAACAATAAAGGAATTCGAACCATAAAAAATAACATGTTCAATGAAGTCTCTAGAACGGTGGTAACAAATAAAACGAATCAAATAACAGTATCACATATGCGAAGAACCATCCCCTCCACGTGGCATTGTGTAGTTGGGTCTCGAGAACGGTGGCATGAATGGTTGAAATGGGGAAGTGGGCTGGCCGAATGTGTTGCCGTGTGCAGGGGTCGCTTGCGTGTTTGGCTGAAAGTACGAGGCCGAAGGCATTTGTTGTGGCGGCGGAGGAGCAACTTGTTGTCCGGTACACTGCTCCATAGTCTGCTGAATCCACACAAGCCGATGGTGTTCTGGCATATGCAGGAATGGACGCTGCCACCTAGGCTCCATAGTCATTAAGTTGAACATGAAGAGATACTGTTCCTGAGAGATGTCCAACGTTGCCAATAAATCCATGCATTGATCCTGAATGTTTTCAATCTGAGCCGACATGTTCGCAGATGCACTTACACCGCGCGACCGACTGCTTGTTTCTATCGAATTCACGAGGCGATCCACGGCACGCTCCATATAGCTAGGCGACGCTCTACGAGAGCTACGACTTGACCGTCGACGTACTACTCGCGGTGGTGAGTGTGCATGTTGTCTGCGGCTTTCTCTATGCATGCCATGTCTTCTATCTGTAGGCGGAACATCGTCACCGTCGTTGAAACTAGTTGTTCCTCGCTCAGTTGGGCTGCCGGACCTATGTTGTGGTGGAGCATCATCTTGACCATACTCAAAGGCCCCATTTGCCCGAGTATTGGCAAACGCGCAATAATATAGATCGTAATCCAACAAGGGCTTCTTCCTCGCCCTTTCAACCTCGGGATGGATCTGTAAATGGAGCAACAAATATTAATACAACAGGTGTCACATTTCTGTAAATGACATATACTATTAGAAACTTACACTGATAAATTGCTGCCAATACTCGTCAGTGCAAGTGGGTTTCTTTTGAATCGGATCCCATCCAAGTCCGGTGGCAGTGCGAAGTAGAAACTCAGCATCAAACGTTTTCTTCAGTCTACTGGCTTTTTGTTTGACTTTGTCCCAAGTTAGGGGAACGGTAAAATGCTCACTTAGCTCCGCCGCCCATTGTGTGTATTTATCTCGGTGAGGGGTGGTACCTACAGAGTTCAATAAATTGA